AGTTGCTACTAAGAGGAATCTTGCTGAAGACCCACAAGCAATGAGCACCTACAGCACCACATAGCTATAACGTGGTGCTTCATCAACAGTGGAGATCTACATCAACTGACTACGGCTTCAAACAGACCTGGTGCCTCAATACCACCTGTGGAAGCCAGGCTCAAGAGCTGCAAGGGCTGTTAGCTGTAAGATCACCCTCTTTGTTGCTTTTTGAGTCAAGTCCAGAATCAGGAACCTGGCAGCTGCTGCTCAGGAAGTCTGCTCTGTGCTGCCCATTACCTCTGCTCAGCTCAGGTCCCCACCCAGGGCTTCCAACCAGATCACCAAGCCACACTTAAAATAGCCAGCTCACAAAACCAGCTCTTGGCTTTAGCCACTCCACCCTCAAAGTACAGAGACTAACTATACTGCCTTTACCAAACAAAACGAGAATTCACTCCTCCATCTATTTATAAGCCGCTTATTCACAGCTTGCAAGCACAAATTTTTTTCAGATGAGGAGCTTGGGGGAAGATATTATGCTTTTTCTGGTTCCATGCTGCACAGAGCCCCGGACCAAACTTGGCCATTCCTTCACCGTCTGAGTTTTTTTCCTCTTTCTTTCAGCTCTCACAGCTGAGAGCCTCTTTCTAGCCTTGTGACTATCTTGCCCACCAACATGCAGAGGATGATGCAATCCCACTCTTGTGCCACACTGAGAATGCAGGTTTGCTGGGAGAGCTGGCATACACCAGGTGTATTCTGGTTCAACTAGTATAAAGCATCTTTATATTAATATAAAATGTTTATATCTTCTTCTCTCCACTTCTGACTCATAGAGTATCTACAGGACAAATGGCATCACTGGACACTGGCCTAGGCAAGCGTTCCCAGCTCTCAGCTATGCTGGAAGAGCAGCAATAACCAGAACAACAGTGGAAAACGTCTGGCTAAAGAGCAGGTTAAAAGTCTCCCTGCCTTGCTGCCCAGCCCCACGCAACTGCCTCACTTTAGGAAGACCTTCCACTGCTGCTGCCTGGTTTCTAGCAGCTTCTCTGACCCTTCCATCATAAGCCTGGAGAAGTCTTCGAAGTCCACCACAAAATAAGCAATGTATTAGTCCACCTTCCATAAGTGGCTTAGTGGGTTGCCTGCAAGCCACAGGTTGGTTGATCAATACACTAGATATCCAGAAGCCAAAGATATACCTGCCAGCCAATTCTATGTCACTTATTAAAAAGACAGCATTTATTAAAAATTTCCTGTCCGAAACTGCAAAAATAAGTACTAACAGCATTAAAGTGATGGATGTCTCCATGGCATTTGTCCACACTTACCAACAGGAACTTCAGCTAGGCTGATCACTCTGCATTTCAATCCCCAGAAAAACTAGGACAACAAAACCTGGAAGCTTTTGGCTAGCAGACCTGGAGACACATTGAGCCTTCAGCGCAGCAGATAGTGTGAAGACAAACGTGCTGGCTTTAAGCAACAATGAATAAGTGGTAACGTCACCTTCAGCAGTCTACCTGTACCTTTGGGTGGTCAGCCTGTGCTGAAGCTATCATTACTTAACAAGGTACCGCAGAGACATTGGCTCATCAGTACCACACTCACACCAACTCTAGGCCAAATTCAGCCTGGTCTTCCTGGAGGTGGGAGAGTGGTGTGGGCCCAGTTGAGCACACTGCATCCCCTTAGCCAACTCCTTGTGATGGGCTGCCTGCAGGACTTGTATTCTGGTAACAGAGCTCCTCCTTTCTAAGCTGGGAAAAGGCTGAGATCCAGAAAGACTGCTTGGAGAAGTCTGTCTTTCCCTTTGTGGCTAAGCAGCTGAATGGGCAAGACTATCTTACAGCAGTACTTGGTGGAGAAAGGAGTATGGAGACTCTTGGTCAGCTCACATTGGGAGCAGAGAGTGAGTAGAGTTATTAGTCAAAGCCACTGCTGTGGTGCTACAGCATCTCTCAGGATGGGACCATCCAGGAGGGACTCCCGAAGGCTCATAAAGCATCTGCCAGAGAAACAAATGGATGTACCACACCACACCTCTCCCGCGTGACCACATCTCTGACAGGATGAGTTTAATTCCTGCAGGAAAGGGGCTGTGTCACTGGCTTAGCAAGCCCTCACAAAGCCTGGGTCAGACCTGAGCAGCCGTAAGATCCCACTGCTCTGTATCATGAAATACTCCAAAGGGCACCTCAGCTCTCCAGGAGAGCAGAGCAGGGAAACATGCCAAGACCAACCCCAAGGGAAGAGTTTCATTACTGAAGAAAGACTAAAGCAAGTCTTGTTTGCTATGTGCTCCAGAAAGGTATTTGGCAGATAACATCTGACTGCACAAAGCACAAGCCTGCTTCCTTGCCTATTTTAGCACACTATCTCTAACATGCAGTCAAGCATTTTCAGATGCGTTTGTCCATCTCTATTCTTACCACCTCCTGGCAATTCTTTTTGCCACATGAAGCCACAAACTAGCAAGAAAGCAAGCAGTGAGAGTTGGCAAAACACATCCCCTGCAAACAAGCAAGTCAACCTCTTGCTCGTTTAATCCCAAGGTGATGGTGCAGCTGGGCTTGTCCTCTGTTGTGCCTCAAGAAAAAAAATGTTTTTCACCTTTAGTTCTGCACTTCTGGTTGGCATATTTTAACTAACTGGAGAAATGAGTCCAGAAAACTTGTGCTCTTACAATATTTGCCTCTATATGTGCAATTCTTGCACATTTTGACAGATATCTGTTCACACCTGGCCTCACAAATTCTGAGTAAGAAGTCTTCACAGTCATAACTCTCTGCTTGATCAGGCTTTTGCACCACAACAGAGATGGAAAAACTAAAACAATGGGACATGTGATTAACACAAGAGCCAAAAGGTGACTCAGGAGGACAAAGCCACTTGACTTGCTTTTGTAAATAATTTGATTTCATGTATTGGGGAGTGGGTGTGAAATTAGAGACTGTTAAGGATTGATCAAGATTTTACAATCCAAAGTTCAGAAAAGCAGTACAACAGGCCCTACTGAGCGCATGGACACAACCAGTCCTGTTCCATTGTCACATTGTCAAAAATCTAATACTGGATCGTCAACAGCCACTGCACGCTAGCTTAGTAGGCCAGCTACAAAATTTTGTCCCTACCCTACTTTGACTGTGTTAGTTAAAAAAAGTCTTCGAAAACCATAACCACAGGAGCCTTTACAGGGTTAGTAGAGCTCAGAACCTTTAATATCTGCACACCAGTTTGGAGAAGACAAGCAAGTGCAGATCTAAACCAAATAGTGCCTTATACAGAGTTCTCTGGCCAAGTGATAGAGCTTTTTCCCTATTTAAAAGGGTCCTGGAACAGGAAAGAGTTGACTTCTTCAGTCCTCTACCCCAAGTTAGATGACAAGCAAGCATTTCCCCAGTTAAAATACTGCATGAATTTTTAGTTTCTGCAACTACTCCACAGGCTAGAATAGGACTAACTTTCTCCCACTGTATTCATTTACACTCCTCAGGCTGGAGACAGCCACATGTATTTGACCTGTGGCATACACTCTCCATTCATACTGGCAGGCAATGAATATAACCTGAATTAAACAGAGAACATGCTACACAGCCTCCGCATGCACCCAAACACTGTGCAATCAAAGAATTATGTGTGTATCCCCTGCCCCTGCTAAGGTAATCAAAGCAGTAAATTATCCTTAGGGGCTCTGTCAGATCAGGTTTCAAAGTTGATCATTTCCCTGCACAAGAACACAGGCTTAGCTTAAAACCAAAACAAAACATAAAAGCTATGCACGTTCTCCTCATTCTCCTAGGACTCAAGTTGCTGTGTGTTGCTTAAAATAAAATAAATAAAAAAGCCAAAACACAACCACCCGCATTATCTGTGCTTCTCACACAATATCAGAATGAAAAGGCTATACTGTACTAATTCCACCCAAAATTGCATCAAGAGTACTTCACCAGTTCAGCAAGAGAATTGTGTCTGCACAGCCTGCCAGAGCTGCTGACAGGAGTCACAGCAAGCTGGGAAAAGAAATGGTAACGCCTGTCCCCACGCTCCCCTCTCACTCAGCACCGAAATGCCAACTCCTCTCCCAGTGACAGGTAGCAACTTGCACTGTCATCCACTCACTGAATTTCCAAAGCAAAATGTCGTTCTTTTCCCGGTGTTTGTGTGAGATACTCTCTAAGCTATTTCATTATCTTCTCTCCGTTCCCTCCCTTAAAACCTCCCAGCTTGTGACGGCAACAGAGAGTTTAACCAGAGCAAGGCTGCGGATGCACGGAGCCATTCCACATCGCCCTGCCATCCACTACGCCCTTGTCTGCACCCACACGCCAGCATTTATCTCACTCCTGGCCTGAAAGCTCCTGGGTGCAAGGGCTGGCTTTCTACCTTGCTGTTTGCACAGCACATAGCACAGAGGCCTTCACACACTCATAGGCTTCAGGTGTTTTAACAGTACAAACAAGAGTTGTGCAATGCCCTGCAGATTTCAAACAGCTGGCCTCTCTCAGTCTCTGCTTCTCATACCAGTTCTGCAAATGGGCAGTGAATATTTGTCTGTGCAAACCATACCGATGTGAGAGGAGATCAGAGCTTGCTTCAGCCAGAAAGCATTCCTCACAGCTAAGGGCCCTGGAAATCCCCTTGCGCAAGGAGTGCCTTGGTAAATCACACAGCAATAATGCTCTGGACCTAAACATTCATCTCTGGCATCATCAATTAAGGCTTGTGTTTTAGAGGGGCACAAAATATCCAGTCCTCTCTCCACTGCAGAAGATAAGTCTGGAAAAGGAACTTTAACCATCTAAGCAAATCCACCCAGGCAAGTTTTTGGACTGGGAAAGAAGCAGTCAGGATAAGAGCAAAATTCATTCCACTTTCCACCTTTGCTGTTTTCAACAGAAGTCCTCGCTGCACAAAGCTGCTCTCTAGGTTGCACCAACGATGGCTTGTCTCACACTCACAGTGCCTGCTTTTTGCTTACCTCCATCTCCTCTTCTCCCACTCTTGGGGCTCACCTGTAGTCATGGGTGAAGGTGACACAAGACTCCTCCTTCCTCAGCCTGGCCAGGAGTGCTCCACCCTCCAGCTGCAGCCTGACCAGCCGAGAGTCTTCAAGAACGTTCTCCATCAACTGCCTGTAATTCCTCAGCAGCACAGCTGCCTCCTGGAGGGATCACAAGAGAAATATGAGCAGTTACTGCAACCTACAGGCAATGAGGGAACAAGCAAAAACCGGCACCCAACCCAAGACACGCACAAGCCACATCTCACCTTGGCCCACTGTAGGGAAGCGGGAGGTTGGTTCATCTCTCAAGGCTGCCAAGTCCAAAGTGACAAATGGTCCTGCTTACACTCTCAATACAATCCCCACCAGGCTAAAATCAAAACCCAGTTCCTATCTTTGTCCATACTCCATTTGCTGGTCATAGAAAGCTTTCCAGCCTCATTTTCCACTCACAGCTAGCTCCTGCTGTTCTTACAGCCTAGACCTACACAGCTCCACACTGTGGGACAAGATGCACATGAAGGGTTTGGGGATATACATGTGTATGCAAGAGAGGCCACTACAATATCTTCCACTGCTTTACTGTTGGGACCCTCAGTGCAGAGCTGGCAGCAATTTCCTACCACGTCAGCAGCTTCTCGAGATTGGGGGAATATAATGTTTGGAACAACACAGGCTTGGTCTTTGTAGCCTCCTTGCCCCCTTCCAAACTTCTCTTCTGGAGACAGCAAAGCTGGAACCACAGCACAGCCTTGGCCTGGTGAACACTGTCTATATTATCACCCAACTTTAAGCCAGGCCACTCAAGCCAACCTGATGTGGCATGGCCTGAGGCAGCTGCTCAGTACTAGAGGCACCAAAGCTAGTACCAGCCAAGGTGCTGCAGAGCTGCTAAGAACGCACTCCAACACTGGAGCGAGCACCCATCAGCAACAAGCACAGATGAAGAGACCTCCTGGGGACAATGGGGGATCAGAGAAGCAGTTTCTACATCCAGTGGAGCCTCTATCACTTCGTGTGGATTAGCTTCTACTAGACCCACTGTCCTGACAGCTGTGCAGCGACACACAGCACTCAGAACACTCTGCTACTACAGCTTGCAAATTCAAAAGCTATAGCTTTTCTGCAGCTATCCAGCCTCCTGCTCTCTTCTGTTTCAGGCCCACCTCTGATAAGAGGCAAGGGACATGCTTACCTCAGCTCTTTCTGGTAATTTTCCAGATTCCACTTTATGAATAGCTCCCTGGAGGAAGGCACAAGCACCTTGGCATCCTTGTAGCAAATGTTCCAGCTTCTACAAGAAGAAAAGACCAAGGCAGAGATTATTGTCTCATGGCTGACAGGAAAGCTGTCTTTTCAGCTTGCAGAAGGTTAAAAGTGCAGAAATCAAGAGAGGATAAACACATTAACCCAAGGGTTCAATTATACCATTTGGTGAGACTGTATCAGCAGAGAGGCCTGTCAGAGGCCTCAGATGCATCACACTATACTAAGGCCTCTATGCAGACCTCAGGCTTGCATATTCATGGCTTGTATGGGTCATGCTTTACCAAAAAGAAAGTCAGTCTACTAATGTCCCACATTCTTCTACTATTAGCATTTCTTGTAACTTCCCACTAAGATGAATCACTATGCATGAATTTTGGAGGAGCAAAACATAGAACGAGTACTTGGAATTTCTCTATGTTAAATCACTTCATATTAAAAGTAGTGTAAATTAAAAGATTAGGAAACTGGAAAGCTTCCTCAACTAAGCAACTTAACTACTGACAAATCTGAAATCCGTCCTCTCTTTGGGGAGGGGGAGGAGAAAGCAAACAAGCAAGCCAGCCCAAACATTTCACAGGGGTTGAGGAGACAGTACTTTTTAGAAAAGTCAGTGATATAAAGCCTAAACACTGTCAGATGCCACCCTCTAGCCACTGAAATCGGAGAAGGGAGAAACAGCTATTCCAAAACAATCGTGCTCAAAACAAAACAAAAAAGCAGCTGTTTGAATCTTTACTGAATTGAACTCCCTCCTCCCAGAAGTGCTGGAACAGTCCCAGCAGTGACAGATTAGCGGGCAGGATGCAGGTGAGATCACCGAGACAGGAAATAAACGCTGTTTGCCACAGAGCTGCAGCTCTAAAGGGCTTGAGCATATGGGTCATTATCACACGTATAAAAATAGGCAATGCATACAGATTGATTCCTACACTAACTCCTTTTGGTAACATTTTGCATGTTAAGATGCAAGACACAAACAAGAAGTACTCCGATACCATGCTGCTTCCTTCAGGAACTATCCTTCTGCACAGACAGAGCACCTCAGCTCTCAAGCTTTTCTCAGCTCTGTCCAGAAAACTCTTGCAAAGCTTCTCTGCTCCCTCAGTGCCAAATAAACCTCAAATTCCATCCTTAGGCACCAAAATTAGGCTTTTGTACCTCTACTGACTGCATCAGCACAGGTTCAAGTTCATACTGGTACTTCTAGATCTAAGTTTTAAAAATAGGTTCTAAAATAAGTTGGAAAAGATAAGTTAACATTTGGCACATGCTAAGCCTAACTCTGAAGCTTGCCACCAGCAACATCTGGTATCTTAACCTGCTTCAAATACTGCAGTGTGCCATGCAGCACCCTGGGCAGTGAGCCCAGAGCCAAGAGACCACTGAATCTTTCGGAAGCAGAGGTGACTGTTCTGTCATCCGCCAGCGTGAGCAAGTCAAACTCAATGTGAAGACAACCAATTTGTGCAGATTTGTGCAGATTTATAGAGATTTAATCCTGCCTAGTCTCAGCATGCCAAATATCTCTCACTATAGCTTTAAAGATTCAACAAGCATGTGATCCACAGGACTTACACTCCCTCCACAGCATGAGTGTACGCAGAGCTGGGTATTGGTGCCAAAACACTTGCAGTCCAGCCACAGATCACCAATGTGTGCTGCATCGGTGACTGTAGCACTCCTTATTGGTGCCTGCAGCACCCTTTGCCAGGGCTACCGTCTTTATAAACTGTGTCTGGGTGCTGCAGTTTCAGCCCTTCTATATCTGAGGCTTAACCTGGGTCAGCTCAAACATTTCCACAGAGTGGTCAGCTTCCCTGCACCTTCAGCTGGCTCTAATCCGCACCTGGGTACAGTTCACTGTAGATCTCCTGATCCATGACTCTTCTGGAGAAAAGCACAAAGGCCAAACAGGATCATGGTACTGAGGCATACTCAAAGCAGCCAAACAGGAAGAAGAAACATACTGCTGGTACTGCCTCCTACTGTTAACTTGGTCCTAAGACTCACTGAACGGAATCTGCATGGGGAAGCTTTTGTTTCCTCTTTTCACGTGACCAGTTCTCAAGGAGGAATATGATGCTCTCCTCCCAAGCTGAACCTTCTCTGTGTTTTTAGTTTAGATGCTTTCTAAAGAGTTCTTGATGACAACTTTGGTAAGTAAGTCGATTACATTTAAAGAAGGAAAAAGAAGTTCCTGGAAGTATTTGAACTGATTATCAGGAACTTGAAAGTTTCACTCCTGCAAGAACTGCAGTTTTTACTAAGGCGCTCTTGGCTTGGGCTGGGGAACCTGCTCCAAAACCAACAAGATTAACTATTTTTATGATGCTCACGTTCTTGATTGTTAGTTCAACGGCAACATGATGCTAAGACCTTCTCCTGAGATTAGTTTAAAAAGTGTCTGCCCTTAAGTCTCAAGTATAACCGAAGTACCACATATCACAACAAAATAGGATTCTGTTTCAGATGCGGCTGTACTTTGAAGGAAAGGAAGAATTAATGCAGTTCAAGCAGATGAGTTAAAACCTAAAATTTTAGTTGCTGCAGTCATGCTAATAGGCCACAGTATGCATCCATTTTATGAAGACAGTATTAGTATTCTTTTGATAACAGAGATTCATTTGCATACACAGCTATTACAGGAACTATTGTCTTTTAATACTGCAGGTTCAGCTGTTGACAGCCTCCTCTTGCTTCAACTCTGTTACCATCCCATTTCTTTTCTCAGATACCAAAGAATATAAGATGTCCTACTCACCATGCGGAAGCTTAACCAGTCCCGGTGGCAATAAGGGAAGGTCCCATCCAGTTCTAGAGGCAGCTGTGAGCTGTCTATGTGCTTATGGAGGGATTTCATGGAGGTAAGAAGTTCAAACTGCACAGAAACAGAACAAATAAAAGCACAGTTGCATTAGGGTGTGAGTATTGGAGGAGGAGGGTGAGGTTAACGAAAGACAGCATCCTTTATTTCTTTATCTATCTTGCATAGAAACAAGGCACACAGTGTATATCTGCAATATCACTATAATATGAAGGGGGGGAAAAAAAAAATCAACTGAATCTTAGAGCAGCTTGCTGTATAGCTTAGTGGGCAAACCCTGAGGGAATGCAGGCCACAACATGCTGTTTCACCAAGCAGAACATCTGTGATGGAAGTCTGGCAGCAGCCAGCCTTCTCCAGAGCCAGTACCTTCTAGTACAAGCAGAGCAACTCCCTCACATATTCCCACGTTGTGCTGCAATTTGCATTTGTTTGGAGAGTCTGGGAGGTTAAATCCAGCCCCCAGCTTCCCCATCTCACTTCCTGGAAAAACAGTCTAACAGAGCAGCCTCTGCTCTACCCTCAACTCTCCACTCATCACAGCAGCTATTTGCTCCAAGTGTTTCTTGGATTTTGACACAGATAACTTGCCTTCTGTGGGTCTGTAGGACCTCAGAGCATTTTTATACTCACCAGAGAAACAGACAAGTGCTCCTGCAGATACAGCCCAGACACAGAAACTCAGGTGCAGACATTTAACCCCCCCCACACACACTGTGAAGTTTCCGCCTCCTTACAAAATAGTGATGATGCTTCCAATTCCTCCTGCATGCCGCTGTCTTTATCAGTCTTTGCTCTGTTCCCTCCTACACATTTTGGCTTTGTTCAAAGGGTTTAATGTCTTCTGTAGCTCTCCCTGCATGCACACACCTACAGCCCCCTTTCTCACTTCAAATTCTTCCACATGGAGGCAATGAGGAAATGGACCAATACCATTGGTTACTCTTTAGCCTTCTGGGGCACCACACCACACACAGAGCAAACCTGATGCTATGCACAACATCTTCATCCACAGCAGCCAAAAGGGACATCCTGGCCTACTCTGAAGTTTACAGGGTTCCAGCAGGCACAGAATTTCAGTCCACTCTTGTAGCTTTTACCAGTCTTAGAGCAGAGGGAGACAACTAATACGCAGACAGATGCTCTATTCACCTCAGAGTGGCTGAGAGCCTACATTTCTTATACGGCTATGGAATACCAAGGCAGATTTACTTCTAGTGAGGGGGTTCAGTGATGTTGTGATGATTTTCTCTCTCCCATTAGCACCTCCTGTTAGTCTTCCTAGACATTTCAGCTGCAAAGGGAACCTCACACACATATTCATCTCCTCTTCCCCCTCTTGCAGAAGTCTCTCAGCCACTGACAGCAGCAGCTATGAGAAGAGGAAACATGAGATATGCAAAATCCAGGAAAGCAACAAGTACCTTCGAAGTTCAGGATTTAGCTTAATGCCATCTCCTCCTGACCAAGGATTCACTCCCTTGTTAACAGGAAACGCATCTCTGTTACTGTTAATTGTGCAGGGCTCCTCCATACAGCTGTGTTCCCAACAAACCCTGGGGTTTTGAGGGCCCCAGCAGTCTGACATAATTATGGCACAAGTGTCACTGATTGACTCAGCAATAAACAGAGCATGACAGAGATCTGTTCGGCTTGCATAAACTTTACAACCATATAAGTACCACAACCATAAAACACAGGGAACAACTACAGAGATTTCATGTGAGAATAAACATGTATCAGTGGACAGAGAACTCTGTTAGGAGAGTTCAATAAGGGATATCAAGAGCTCCCCAGCAAGCCCTGGCTGAATGGTTCCATTACCTGTCCTGCTGGTGGTTTCTCCATCCGAAAAGTCAGATCTCTTTCAACCAGAAGCAGTACTCCATGAATACAATGAGGATCTATGTCCTACAACAGAACAGAGCACAAATCCATTACCCATCTGCCTGGGATGCTAAGAAGAACATACCATACCAGATTGCAATTCATCCTTCAAAGGTATTTAGGGAGCCTGGAAGGCAGTCACCAGGTATGGGGAAGGCCATTCTACAGAGCACCAAGGCTATGTCCTTAAGGTAGTTTGCTTTAGATCAGCTAGTCCTGCAGTATTTAAGGAAGCAATGAAAGAGGTCAGGTCTTGGCTGCACTAAAAAAGTCTGCCTTCTACACAGGGAAATGTGTCGGGGAAAAAAAATAAAACGAAACAAAAGAAAACCCAACCACATTCAATGTCCAAGTTTTTTCTTTATAACCTTCCCGGTCACTTCTCCTAACTGAAAGGAAGTGGGTTTTTTTCCCCCTCACAGTGCCAAAAATGTCATCTTGTCTTTATTTACTGCCAACAATCAAGTACTTGCATCCTGTTGCTACTGTTAAACTAACAGAAATTCCAAATGCAAGGGATGTCTGGCAGCTATAGTTCAAACTCTGTGATACAGGAGCAGCTCTCCAATTATAGAAGCATTCTACAGGGAAGTGAGAAACAGGCGCAGAGAGTGACAGCAGGAAGAGGGAAATGTAACAGAAAGATCTAGACTATGGACACAGGGACCACTATATACACCAGGATAGCAAGGAGAACAGCCATTTAAGCTGTCATTCCACATGGTTAAACAAGAGCCATCCCATCTAGAAGTCTCCTAGATGGTCTTTGCCTCTGCAAAGATCTTGGAAACTGTCAAGCAAGAAATCCTTTCCAGTATTGCTCAAGCTGAAAGGAACCTGCTACACAGCAGGCCAGGACAGCAAGGGAAACTTGTTTAAATGAATTATGGTTAACTACCCAACATAAGCAGCAGAGCCAAAGTACAGCAGAGACTGAGCCACCTAACCTGACACTGGGCCCAGCACAGCAATTAAGAAACAATGCCAACACAAGGAGACCCAGTTCTGCAAACGAAAGCAGCAGCAGAGATTCCAGAGCAGAGAGACCTTTCTCTCATCTAGTCCTAAAACAGGGTCCTTTTGAACAAGCAGGAAAAAATCCCAACTGAAACATGCTCCAAAACCATGAGAGGTTTCTAAGTCTTCTCAAATCCCTTTCTCCAAAGCAAATTATTCACACTTTTACTGTTACCTGAACACTGGTCAAAAGGCCAAAAAGTATTTGTTGCATAATCAGCCCATATGAGGTAAATACTGAATCTCATGTGAAGAGACGATAGGGAGGTATTACAGCTGTATCAGCCACTCTGAATTTTTCTGCTAGAAAGTAATGAAGGATGAAGACTAGCCACTGTTTCAAGACAGATCACGGCACTAAATAAATTTATTCTGTCACCATCCTTCTACTCCAACAGTCATGAGATGTGCAATCTGAGTGAGGGATAAAGGTAGTGATGGTGTAACACAAGGTTACAACAGCAGCCAAAACACTCACTTGTTTGTTACTCCTGAAAATATAAACTGAAAAACCATTCACAAATAAAGCTGTCAGGGGAGAAGTTCAGAGTTTTCCAACCCAAGAAGTAGTAATATTTCAAAGAAATCAAGTATTTTTTACCGTATCTTTTTTTTCTTTAAACAGCTGAAGAGAAGTCAGTCACATCCAGCACTGACAGAGCAACCCAAACTGACTAAAACAGTTTACAGGATCGCCTCTGGAGACAGGCAGAGTCGGAAGCAGCAGGATGCTACTTCAGGAAGCTTTCCTGCAGCTTTCTGCACAATCTTTTACCACCTTTGCAAACAAAACTAGCTATCTGGAAGCAAAGAAACGGAGTCCTACAAGTGTAAGTAAACTCCTCACCCCCCAAAATAGGGACAGCGTGGACAGAGGCGCATCAACAGGAGCTCAGAAAGCACCAGGATAAATACCCATCCTTTTAAATTAGATATCTTCTTCCCTCTGGCTCAGACCGATGTTTCAAACAGTCTTGTGGCTTCCTGACCCAAATGGAAGCCCATGGCCAGACTTAACACTGGCACAGCTTGAAGCACAGGCTGCCAGAAATGCCTGTGCAGATGGGACAGTCCCCAAATACCGTGTTCAATCTCAAAGTGACCACTTCCAATGGAGTAGTAGGAGATCCCTCATCTTTAATGTCAGACCAAGGTTCCCTATACTTCTGCAGTAACAGGACATGCAAATATACCTCTGGAACAGAACGATTTGCACAGAAGTTTTCTGCTTTGAACTGCTACTGTATCTCTGTCTTCATAAACAGACTCTTCCCTTCCCAATCCAACACACAGACGCAGCAGATTACAGAATTAAGCATTTGTACTCATATGTGAAATTCAAGAGATTCTCACTCACTCCTGCAGATGGAAATCCCACAGATCTCTCTTCACTGAAGGCCCACACGCACATTCCACTGTCCATGCCCTGCTTGCTTGCTGACCAAGGGATCAGCCCAGCACTACTGAGCAGCCAAGATCCTCTGATTAGGCCCCCCAGCACAGAGCTTACTGGTGATAACCTCTGACCAAACATCACAGCAGCATTTACCTCCACAAAAATCCTTGCTCCAAAGCATCATTATGCAGGTTCCCACAGGAACAAGCATAACCTATTCTTGCAGCACATATGCACTGCACATTTCCCTCCACCTCTGTACAGAGCTGCCAGAGTTCCTTGCTCCTTCCTGAGTTAGCTCTGCTGCAGTGCTTTATTCTGCCCCTGCTCCCAGTGCTGTCTGGGACAGAAGGATTTCCCAGCCACCCATATTCTAAAGAGGAAGGGGGAAGAAAGCCTTGCAGAACACAGCTGCCCCCACCCTGAAGGCAGAGAGGATGAGAAGCTTTCACCAGTTTACTAGGTGACTCCAGACAGAGCAACTGACAGTCTCCCAGTGCTGTAAGAAAACTACCTGCAAGCACTAGAGGCATTAGCATTTTAAAAAAGCCCATTCACATATTTATTCCAGAAAGATGGAAAAGTGGAGTAAGTATTTCCTCAGTCTGACGGATCTTGATGCAGAAACCTGTGGGATCAAAGCCTTCCCTCCCCAGGCAGGTTTGCTAGGGTTAACAGATCCAAGCACTGCAGCAGGAAGGGACTCTGCATTAGGTCACCCGATCTGTGCTTACCCACTGTGAAGCGGTGCTCTTCACTGCTCAAGAGGAAAACATCCCTTCAAAATTGAACAAGCAACACTGGACCTCAACATTTAACGGATTCCACCCTCACTATCATAGCAGGATTCACAAAAGCCATGTAAATAAAATCCTGTCGAAGTGAAGAGCAGAAGGGCAGAGAAATGAGCTCCAGAGACAGTCTGCCAGAGATAAGAGACACCAGGAGACATGTCAGGGATCTCAGACAGGACCTCAAGGAGATGATCTGTTCTGTGACCTTACAGGCACAACATACAGTCTGTGCTCCTGCATCTACTGGCCAGCAAACCTTGCTGTGCCCTAGAAAGCCTAACTTGCCTCACTGGAGTTATAGTCAGCTTTCTGCATTTCTCTACCCTTGTTTCAGAACAGATGAGAGTACTGCCATGCAATTAGAGGTAAGTGCTAAGGATCTCCAAAAGGCTCTGAGGAGCCAGGGGATTATTCCTGTGCCATAACCAGATGATGAGCTAGCTGAACAGGTCTCTTTTACAGAGACTGCAGAAGAATCAGGGTAAGGACCAAAAAACTATAAGCAGAGTAACCAGCCTCTGTCAATCACTGTTACCTGGACACACACAGCTCCCGCAATCTGTCTTGCGGCACATTAATCCCTGTTAACTAACTGTTGCACCACCCTGATAACAAGGTGCTCAGAGCCAAACAGCCATCACAGCAGGGTATTATAGAGGCACTGCAAAAAGCTTCCCCTTCACACCCCCTGCCCTCGTTTCAGAAGGTTGGAAACTTAAGGTTAGAATGGCTTTATTCCTGCCATGCTTGTATGAGACTGGGGACAGTCTCAACATGTTGCTGATTTCCAAAGCATCCCACTAAGACACAACCATGCAACTTACATAGGTGACAAAATGCTCAAAAGCTTTAGCAAGCCCACTGCCATATGAGCACAACATAAAAGAGAAGATACTTGCTTGTTACCTCTGCGGAACCAAGCAGGGCACCAGATTGCTCCTTCACCACAGAGAAGGAGCACACTGATAATGCTCACAGCTCCACCCAGCCCAGGAAGCAGGAGGACAGACCTCTGACTCAGCCCCAACCTTCAGATGTGGCACTGAAGCACATAAACCACAGAGACACCAGCTTCATTAAAACATTGCCCTGTTCCAGTTTGCAGAGTTTGAGCCCCAAGAGACTTAAGCTTTGATTTAAAAGGAACACCTGCTTAAACAAGATTAGTCATAGCTACAACCCAGCATCTCTTTGACTTTCAAACAGCAGCAGACAGCTTCTATCTGGGAGCGGGGGCAACACTTGCTTTCCAAGTGACTGATATGAAAGCCTTTGACCTGAAGCAATATAGAGTTACAGCATGTCCGATCCAGTCATTCACCAACAACTACCTCAACAGCTGGATGTGCTCTTCCACCTGGCGTGACAAGCAGTGTCCTTCCCCTCCCTCCACAGCAGGCAGAGGCCTCTCTTCCTCCCTTCTCCTTGGTGGGCAAAAATCCCTGCATATTTCACACAGCCCCTCAGCGTAGGAGACAACATCTCCAAGTATGATCATTCATGACAGCGTTTACACTTGGGTATGGTCTGTTGTCAGCACAGAGATGGAAGCAAATTTGAAGGGGTGGGGAGGGGTGTTCTCCCCTAACTCAGACTTGCTTAAGTTTTTTGCTTTGTCTGCAGTCTGGCGAGTCCAGGTCATCCTCCTAAAACAGGGCTGGGTACATAATTCCACCTCTTAAAGCCAACTGAAAGCCAAGTGGCAGATGGAGATATAAGCAGCAGATGGAGATGTAACATGCAGCCAAGAAGGCAAGCCAAGTAGTGGTCCTTCGCCCAAGCTCAAGGCTCACCTGCAATATGCTGAATGCCTTGAAGAGAGCAGGAACCGGTGAACAGCGACGAGCATCCACAAGAACAGTCAGACCCAAAGCCTGACATTCTGGTCTGCAAGGACAGAGTAAAAGAGGTCATGTTTGTCACCAGTGAAAATCAACAAGACTATGGAAACAGAACCCATAGTCATGACAGGGTGGAAAAAAAAAACCCAGTACCTTACGGCTCTATAAGGACAGGGAACTAACTAGACACCTTCTCCTAATCAAAATATATACATGGAAACCACCACCTGGATTGCTCAGTTTTTACCTTTGCTATTTCCACCTGAACTTCTCATTTCTCCAATTCCTATGACATCTCACTGACAGCAAGGTGCCAATACCCACTCTGCATAATCCACACAGGAAAACCAGCCCTTCCTGACTGCGTTCAGGGACAAGCCTGTCCTTAGCCACACTGCTTCACAAGAGCAGCCATTCTGGATCAGTCCCAACATCTGTCTTGCCCAGAATCAGATTTGAAGGGAGAAACATAAGAAACAAAGCATGAGCACCAGAAGCTCTCTCATGGGTTAAGCCTGCTCATTTTATCAATGGTTTAAAGGCTTCAAAACAAAACAAATTCCCTGGCAGAGTTAGCTTTACGTCTTATCAGTTGAATCATCTTTAAATTTCACTTTTAGATTTCACTTCCAAGCAAAACAGTCTCAGTAGAGCCTGAGATGGGCTGGGGCAAGAGTATCATAGTAAAAGGAGGAGTAGCTGCAGCAAAGTTCAGCCTGCAGACTCTAAAACCAATTGTCAGCCAGACATCAAGGCAGATTTTCTCAACCCTTGGCAGATCCTCCCTCCCTCTCAGCTTTGAGACCTGGCCCTAAAATATCATATCACGGAGCTGCTGCATGACTGCCCCATCACAGCTCCCAAATCCCATTTTCTGAGCTGATGAAGGATAGCAAGAATGGCTTGGATTCATGGCGATGCATGAAAACATTCAGTACATACCTAATTCTATCACACCATGTGCACAAGGCACATACAGAATAGCCAGAGTGCTTATTGAACATGAGCCAGTTCTCCCTAGCAGGAGATCTCCACCTGTACAATTTTGGGACTATCTGGACCTGGTTCCTAGGCAAACAGAGACAATCCGTTCCACTCACTGCCTCAGCTTACACAGACACACACAAAAGGCAAAGCAGACATGGCAGCAGCGTCCAGCCTGTCAGCCCAAGAGTGTCACAAACCTTGGGATGCTATGCAAGTACAGAAGGAGGCGTACAAGCTCAGTGGTGTTGCAGTGAGGGTTTAACCACGCTGTGTTTCTTGTTGTTATTATGGCCACTGCACGTCCTGATTTATCTCTGGTACCTGTAAAAAGAACGGGCGAAAAAAAGTCACACAAGTAAGTCAACAGAGCCTGGTTCCAGGTGTGTATGCCTCATATTGCCCTAGTACCACTTCATCACCTTTCTGGAAACACTCCACAGAACTCAGTATAGTGTATGTTGTAGATTGCAGTAGGCTATAAACACACTTCTGAAGTACCCAAATGCTGCCCCAGAGTGATGCAGTGGAGCTCTGCTTGTCTTTCTCTCATGGTAGTGTTAAATTTGGACTGCCCAAACACGCAGTCTTCATAAAATATGGCTGAAGTTGGCTAATGATAACCCAGACAGGTTTGCAGAATAACGTCTGCTACCTAATGAGACTGGGCATGCACACTGCAGGCTGAGCCTAGCACGTAACCAGACATCTCCTGGGAGCAAAGCCCTGGAGCAGGAGCCCAGAGCTCCTCCTCAGAGGCTGTAGAGCGGACAGCCCAGGAGCACCCTCTTGCCTGCCTACACCTCTGACAAGGGCAGAGTCTGTGCCAAGCTTTCATTAGTTTCAGAGCTTGCTCAGTGCCTAGGGAATAGATAAGGCACAGTATGGGCAACACGGCCGAGTTTGTGATACGTTGAGGAAGGAGAAAACCCTTTGCTTCAGTCAGCCAGGACAACAGTTCTCTGCCCCTCACTTTCCAAAAGCCCAAAGACACAGCTCATCACAGGAGCCAAGCCTGCTCTACGAGCTCCCAAAATTAACTGATAGTCTGGCTTTAGCCACAACATGCAAGAACTCTAAGAGAAGGACATAACAGTGCCATTTCTGGAATTAGGTGCAGCCTCCCCTCCAGATGCAAAGGAGAGGTGAAGAGCAGGAGGACACACCACTTCAGAGACCCAGAGCTGCCTCTGCCATTCAAAAACAGGCAGGGCCCCTGGAGTGAGCCTGCTCAAGCAACCACCGCTCCACGCTCACACACGTCACCAGGAAGGTGATTTGGAGAACAGTAGGGACTACACCTCTACCGTGTGAAAAGTAATTCACAAGAACAGGAGCCATTTCCCGACATACAAATTTATGAGAGCGAGGAATTAAAAAATCCCAAGCACAAACCCAGAGGCTTAGAGAAAGCTCTGTCTTTCTGTCTCTTCTGAACTTCATTGCTGCCACAGGAGATACTGTCCTGGACCACCTCTCTCCCCATCCCAGGGGCAAGCATGTGAGTTGACAGGTAAAACAGATACAGATGGACAGCCCCAAGCACAGAAAACTGCCCTGGTGTGATCTCAATCTGTCACTAGGACGTGACTTGAGCAAGGGCCACAGACACAGATGGGCATCATTTAGAAGCAGGGCTTTCTCCCTCCCAAGGACCAGACCTGTGACACAGGCTTTCTCCTGCTAACAGCAGGGACACAATCTTTCATCATCTGTGTGATTCAGGAGGGGTTTTATTACTCCTGAAATACTGTATTCAGGACACCATCAAAGAGCTGGAGAGAAACTAGGAAAAGTTTATTAATGTACCTTGTTTCATAAGCTAAGGGGATCATCAGAAAATTAAAAAAAGCAAAGCACTCAATTACTGGAAAAATGGCTGGATAACCAGGCTCAGTAAAAGCTTTCTTTCTCTGAAGCAACATCTTTTGTCCATCAAGTAGGCTGAGCATCACCAGAACTTGATCAAACCTTAAACCTCCATATATGAGCCTGGGAATTGCCTGAACATGTCAAAAAAAAAAAAAAAATCAACCGCAGCCAGCAGGCCTAGATCTCCAACAGTGGCATAACCAGATGATTCAAGAGCAGAAGGCAGAATTGAAACTCTTCTGAAAGGAAAATTTCTTCCTAACTCCATCAGCTACTAGTTTATTAATTAGCTCTCACTATTCATTATCAAAGTTATCCTTTCTAATGTAATTATTATATCATTACCAATGTCTAACATAAAGCATTGAACTGAGCAGTGAGTGCATTCCCTCAGGTGTGAGGATTGCCCACTGAAATCCAAAAGAAGGCATGTGAGAGAAGAGATGTCAGTCAAATCCGATGCTGTTTCTACAGAAAACGCGATTCCTCCCTTAGACGAAAACTCCCTTGGAAGTGGTATCAAACCCAAACCTTGTTTTCTTCAATGCATTTCAAGGGCACATCCCTTCATCCCACACTCAAATGCATTTGCCTCATTTAACAGTTGTATATTACAACAGGAACCTGTGACAAAGGAAACAACTAGAGCATTAGATCACATAGTCAGGCTTCTATGATAGCGTGGACTATGAGCTTCTCTTAAAGACCCTTCTCAAACCTTGTAACTTTTTGGCTGTTGTACACACCCTAAAATATCCAACCTGGTCAGCAGTTCCGAAGATTAGAAATCCTCCTCTGGAACTGGTTCTTAACAGTTTACCTACCATTGCAAATTTACACATTTAAATGCACCATAACTCTGCCTGGCACTTGGTTTCTCATTTCACCTTTTTCCACGAGACTGGAAAAGTCTTATTTCCCTTTCCTCCTTCCCTGCACAAGGTGTTTTCACCTCATTCTCAATCATCTTATGAGATAAACAACCTTCCAGTCTCTTGCCACAAGACATCCAATTCAGTTCCAAGAAAGGGCTGTCACCCTTTTCTGCACCACCTCTAATATTCACCATTTCCTTCTAGAACAGAGGTGTCAGAACAGCCCAAACTATTTGAGAGGCATCACCAACAGAGGTAAAATCACTTTCTCAATCTGACTAGTCATCCCCTCTGTTTTACATATCCGAGGTCAAAATTGGTCTTTCCAGCCCCAGCACCGAGTGGGAAATGACTGTGCTGTCTTTCTGCTCTCCTTCACAACTTCTCCACACTGCACAGGTCCACCTGACCTCTTCTCTGCTCCCTGGCCAATTTTCAGTTCCTTCGTGGCTCCTGAGCCGATTGAGCTATCTTCATGCCCCACACTGGACAACCCTCTCCCTGGCTGTGGAAGGAAGCAAGCCCACAGGCGCTGCCAACTGGCTGTTTCACACTGGAGAGGTAGATCTCGATTCCTCTGCTTTCCTTCATATTCGGTTAAACACAAAGACCTCTTGTGTGGGCCCTACACACCAAGTGATCCTGGCTACTCTGGCCAACAGCCTCAGCTTTGTTTAACACTCCGCTAATATTTGTCCCATGCAGAAGTTTTATCTGCAGCAATCTGATACTTGCTGCCATATGAGATGCAAACACTGAATAACATTTGACCTACAACTGATCTCGGCAGAACAATCCTGGGAAGTCCTCTCTCGATAACTAGTTTTGTCATCTGCTATTTAGCTATACTGTCATTCATCCCACACGTTGCTCATCCACACTTCATTGAGATACTCCTTTCAACACTATATGTCATGAAAACAAATGTTTTCTAAAAATCTATTATATCTAGGCAGCTACATTTAATCAACCCAACTTCTAATTACCACAAATAAAACTGGTTTTACCAGAGCACTGTCAAATAGCATCTTCTACACTCCTATCCTTTAATTATCTGCCAAGTGAATCAAGTTCCTATTGTTTCGACCAGGTCTGATGTCAGGCCCACCAGCCCATCATTAGCTGCACCCTCACTCTTCTCCTTTTGAACTACTGGTATGAGCCCAGAGATTTGGTATTTCTGACTCATACACGCTCGGTTAACATTTTGAGACTGCTGGGAGAAGTTAACATGACTTTCACGAGAGGGAAGTTCTACTTCCTGTCCTTCCCATCCAGAAACTTTGGAGGATTCAAGGAATGCTGCTTCTGGAGAGGTTTGGGGTGAAAGAGAGGGAACAGACACCAGTCTGCAGCACTGCAGAGGCTCATCTCCCTTGCCCTCCTACAAACCACTCTTCCCAGGCACATTCTGGCTCAGCTACTCACCAGGCAGACAGGCAACTCCGCTCCTGAGCACTTCTGGGTTCACATCCTTGACTATGGTAGGTGCAGACCGACCACCCCAGGCAGTCCCAGAAGCTGGGGATGTTGGGAGAGTAATAGCTATTGAGGTTTCCTCCAGGGCACTGACTTTACTCACTGGTTTCAACACATCTGTGCCAGTTGCTTCTTTTCTTGTCTCTACCTCTTCTGACATCATCCCTGTAAGACAAGCAGCAGTGAGAAGCTCAAGCAGAGCCCCACCTAAAAGGTCCCAGCTAAGTACCAGACTGAGCAGGGACATGCCCCCAGCCCCAGCTCTCCACAGCTTCTCCAGTCCTTGTGCCAGTAGCATTCATGTTCCAAAACCAGTGATAACATTAATACAACTTATTTATTATATATATATTATATATACAA